TCACCCGACACTGTCCTTACTTAACCTGCCTTACCTTACTTGTTTTTCTTAGTAGGCCTACTTATTATTTTTACTCTGTTGTTTTTTACAACCGGTTGTTTGTATCTTACTTACTTACTTACTTAACCTTACTTACTTAGTCTATTATTTTTGCCTTACTTATGCCTGCTCACCCGTTCGTACATACACGCTCGTTCACACACGCTCAGGACTCACCGAAAGTATGAGCTCTCAGTGGGGACAATCATCAAGTAACAGTAGTAACACCGTAACTCAATGTGTTTTAACATATAGGACTCACCGAAAGTATGAGCTCTCAGTGGGGACAATCATCAAGTAACAGTAGTAACACCGTAACTCAATGTGTTTTAACATATAGGACTCACCGAAAGTATGAGCTCTCAGTGGGGACAATCATCAAGTAACAGTAGTAACACCGTAACTCAATGTGGTTAACATATAACTAACTAAACTAACTAGACAGACGTCATCAAGCGTTTGCTCAATGTGTTTATACATATAATGTTAAAGCCGTAAAGTTATAGAGAGATTCGAACCCTGGACGATCGGTTCATGGCGGTTTTCAACATAGTGCGGAAATGATACGATGCACTATGCTACGTCGACGTGTTGTTTAAGCGTGTTTTGAATTCATTTAAATTGTCATTTTAACACTTTACGTAGAGATTTTTTTCTACACAGAGTTTTTTTTAAAGTTGTTTACGCACATTTTAAGGGAAATTCCCTGGGAAATTCCCTATATAATCCTGAGTAAATAGTAAGATTAAAAGTTTCTAAATATAACTTGTTTGTCACAAAAACTCTTTTGTTTTACTTAATCAATAAAGATTAAATATTTTTTGTATAAAAGCTGCATTTTTTTATATCAAAAAATCAAATGGCGATTACAAAGAGAATTACAAAAAAAATATGAAAAACATAGAAGTTATCGTTATTGATGAACAGGCGCTGGAATTTACTCCTGTAGACTTGACTGCAGAAGATTTTTTAAAAGAATTAGAAAAAAAAACAGTTAACGAAATTAAAAATGAAATTATGGAAAAAGGATCATCGGAACAAAACGTTCATTTACAAACTAAAAAAGTAAGATATTTTTATATAAAAAAATTATTCTTTTTTTAACTTGTTTTAACTTGTTAAAAAAATAATTTTTTTATTGTTTTAGAAAAAGAGCAAATACAAGCTCAAAAGAAATAGAGCGAGAAAAATAAAATTTTTGCAAAAGCAAATTCAAGACGGACTTGAATATTTAAAACAAAATTGTAACTAGTTTTTTTTGTAATTAGTTTTTTACAATAAAATATATTGTTTATTTCTTTTTTTTTTTTTTTAACGCTGCATTTCTTTCATGTTTTCGATTAACGTAAGCATCGTTTGATATTTTCCATCGTTTTACTTTTTTACCAACGCGTCCTAATTTACGATTAGATTTGTTATCTTTATATGTTTTTTTAGTTTTTCGTAAACATACTAATATATTTTTACAATTGCTTGGTATCCCTCTATTTTCTGTTTGCGTATGTTGCGAGTTTGTTGTAGTACGTACAAAATCAATTTGATTATTTAAATAATCGTCTACAGTTTTTTTTGATCTAGGCGTATATCTTGTGCGAGGCATTTTTTTAAAATATTTTTTGTTGTTAAAAAAAAAATATATTTATATAATAACATTTTTTTTTAATTTTTTTACAGATTTAATTATATAAAATAAAATGAGTGAAAATGAATTAACAAATATCTTGTCATTCTATCTTGAAGCCTATTGGCAACAATTTGCTAATTATTTAAACATGCATCGCTGTGTTATTGATGCCATTGATAACGATTACAATAGAAGTTATTTAAAAATATGTCGAGTCATTACGCTATTTTTTCAAGTTAATCCTGAAGAAAAAACTAATCCGCAATTTATATTAAAAACATTACAAAGATGGTTGATTGACGAACAACAAAAAAAAAATTTTAAATTAATAAACAATTTAAACGAATTAATTATTAAAGTTAAAAACTGTACTATTGAACCCATGGAATATTAGTTTTGTATATTATTGTATAACATGTTGTAATTTTTTTAGATTAATTAAAAAAACAAAAAAAATGGAAAGCCAAATGGAAACCATTTACGCCGATGTAAATAAAGCCATCTACAAATATGGCAAACCGTCTGCACAATTAGAATTTGTAAAACCATATGAGGCCATGTTTGTAGATGGCGACTCGATTTTTAATTTAAAAAACATCGACATAGTCGACGAAAAAGAAGACTACGAGTTGGATGATGACGATGAATACGATGATGATGATGACGAATATAATGATGATGACGATGAATACGATGATGATGATGACGAATATAATGATGATGATGATGAATATAATGATGATGGTGATAAAGAAAACGAACCTATGGAAATAGACAATTGACTTTTTTTTAAATTATTTTGTATTTTTTTATTTTTAATGTTCCTTTAGTTTTGAGTGTATTGAGAAATGTATTTTCTCAAAGCAGCCAAAACTAAAGGTATAAAAAATAAAAAAAAACAATGGAATGGAACTTTTATATTTTTAATGTCCCTTTAGTTTTGAGTGTTTTAATAAATTTATTTTCTTAAAGCAGCCAAAACTAAAGGTATAAAAAATAAAAAAAAACAATGGAATGGAACTTTTTTAATGTCCCTTTAGTTTTGAGCTTATTAAGAAAAATTTATTTTTCTCAATAAAGCCAAAACTAAAGGTATAAATAAACAATGGAAGAGAACACTTTTGTTTTGTTTACAATTATTATGAATATGAGATTACTTTTTCTATTCAATAGATAAAGCAATTTCGTATTCATAACAATGTAACATATTTTACTGAACAGCTGTCATTGCAATCGATATATATTAAAAATAATAATTTGTATTTTTTTACTTTTATTAATAAATATTTTTTTTCATATTGTTTTTTTATACTATGTTAACCCTATTTGACTATAATTTTACCTGTAATATTACATAATTTTACCCATAATATTTAAAAAAAAATTTTTATATTAATTTAATACTTTTTTTAAGCAACTAATTATACCAAAAAAAATGGCTGAAGCTATGGAAAAAGAATTATGTTATTATTGCAAGCTACCCTTTACTATTGATCAATTACTAAATCATCAATTAAAATGTAACACATCACAAGATTATGATTGTTTTAGCTGCGGAAAAAAAATTAAATTGTCAGATACTTGGGAACATGAATGTGAAATTTATCACGAGGAACGCGTAGAAAGAAATCAAACTAAATTATGTGTGTTTTGTGGAAATCAAATTCAAAAAAACTACTATGATCAACACGCTATTGATTGTTTACATCGTTTTGAAAATGAATGGAAAGAAGTAATGGAAAAACAAAAAAATATTATTATGGATCAAAAACAAAGTTTAATTTTTTTAAACATGACTAATAATAACATTCTGAACAGTTTAGCAACTGTCAACAAACAAATAAACGCATTAACCAAACAAATGGACAACATGGGTTTGGAAATAAAAGAGTTTGTGAATAAAAACACATTTGAAAAAATATTGAACAACATCAGCTTGGAAATGAAAGAATTTGTGAATAAAAGCACATTTGAAAAAGAATTGAAACTATATGATAATATATTAAATTATAATAAAGATATCAACGACAAATTCATGTCTGATAATTTAATTATAGAATTGGACCAAATGGATTTAAGATTGCAATCTAACGAAGCTTATCATACTCAACCTTCTTATACTGTAGACGGTTATTTCTACCGATTTAAAATTTTTGGTTACAGTAATCAAGAAGATAAAATGGGTATTTATTTTCAATTGATACAGTCTCCAAAAGATCATTCTTTAAAATGGCCATTTATGAAAACTGTAACATGTACAGTTAAAAACGAATATATTGAAAACACAAAAATAATAGCCAATTATAGCGAACCGTTAAAAGAATGTTTTGAAAAACCTGCTCAAGCTTATAACCGAGCTATTGGAACAGATAGTTTTGCAACGCACGAACAATTAAAAAGACATTATATAAAAAACAATAAACTTATTATACACGTTTCTTTTATATAATTTATTATGTATTTTGTTTTGTATTTAATTATTCATATAATTAATAAACTTATTATACACGTTTCTTTTATATAATGTATTTTTTATATTATATATTTTTTTTTTATAATGTTATTTTTTTTTTAGAATAATAAAAAAAATGAACAGTTCAATCATGAGAGATTTAGCTGACTACATCACTACGTCTGATGTAAAAAAATTAAAAATGTTTTTAGAAATACCGTACGGAATAAGAGAGAAAATTAAAGACGGACTAGATTTAATGGAATATCTACAATACAAAGATTTCGTGTATCAAAACTATGAATACAATACTAACGAAGCTAAAATCAAACTTATTTTAAATTTGTTAAATGAAATCGGTAGAAAGGATATCTATAAAAAGTTTATAGTTAAATTTGAAAATCCGCCATCATACGAAGAAAGTATAAATCCTCCACCGTATGCAGAACTGGATAATCGAGACAGATCCAATATAGATTTTCCAAACTTTAAAGTAGCAGATCCATTTTTGGCAATAAACGCAAAATGTAATACTCCGTCGTATTATCCGCCTGAAGTTATTTGTTTAAAACAAAAAGAACTTTTGAACTATTATAATAAAAAATAATTTTTTTAAAAAAATTTTTTATGTCCTTTTTTTTTTAATTTGTATATATAAACTTTTTGTAAATACTTATTATATAAATTGTTTTTTCTGCTACTAAGCAACATAATTTAGTCATGAAATCTTTTTTTAATATTTATATGGAATGTATAGATTGGTTATTTAAACAACATGAATATGTTATTAATCTTAATTTTAAACCTAATAGAAACGACATGTATGATTTTATTTAACTTTTTTATTTTAGAATAAAAAAAAATGAAGCTAATTACTGGAGACGATCAAGACTTTTTATTTTTTAACAGAGAAGAATCCGATATAATGACAAAATTTTTAAATGTTGAACATGAAAAGATTAATGATCCATCAACATTAAAAGCGTTTGGCAATATATTATTAATGGTACAAGAAGAAGTTTTAAAACAAACAAACTATTTTAAAAACATTGAGAAAACAGAAGAAATTAAACGAGACTTTTATAATTTTGTAAAACAAGTATTATCAAAATAAATTTTTTTTTATTTTTTTTTAGATTCATAACAAAAAAAAATGAAACTTGTTAAAAATGATCAAATCAGATTTGTTAGTTACAACCCTCAAGAAGCAAGAATACTAATAAACATAGCAGAAGACCGATACGGATCAGATAGTTGTAGAGTGTTGGCAGAATTTTATCGTATTGGTGTTATTATAGACGAAGAAATTCAAAAACGTACGAACAATTTTACAAATAAAGAACTCTTTGAAAATATCAATAACAGTTTTGAAAACTTTGTTAAAAGTTTATTATGAGAATAAAAACAAAATTTTACATTAATAAATTTTTTCATTTAATATATTGTCTCTTTCCTTTTTTATAATATGATAACATTCCAATACATCTTTTTGCAAATATAATCCTCCAACTAATCCTTTACAATAATAACACAATTGTTGAACTATTATTTTTAAACTATTTACATAGTTTATTTTTTTATACAATTTATCTATACACGTAAAATAATAATAAAATGTTTTTAACACATCAAGACAATGTTCAATGACTTCACTATAATTATGAAAACACGTGTCAGGATAAAATACGCGATGCGGAAGACATTTAAATAGCAAATCAAGAACTTCTATCAACTCTTTTTGATATGTCTTTATCAATTTTAAATCTTTAATATAAAAACCGTATACTCTTTTACAACTATCCAATTCGCTTTCTTCAGCTAAAAGAACTTTATCCATCCAAACACCTTGATTTAAATGCGTTTCCTGTAAATGTTTTTTTAAATCTAAATTAAGTTGATATAAATATAACAAACAATCGTCCGTCGCATCAAAAGACATTTTGATAAATGAATTTTTTATTTACATGTATACAATTTATTTACAAATATATTTTTATATACAATAACAACAACCGCGGCACCGCTCAAATAAATCTTGTATGTACGGGCACACGGTTGTTGCGCAACAATGATTATGTTCGCTCTCTTCGCCTTTACATAAACAACATCCAAAACAAACCACTCGTCTAGTTGTTAAATCTCCATTTAGTGAAAAATATCGTTCATTTCGATTCATTATGCCGTCGTTTAAATGACGATCAATACGAATCATAATACCATCGAGTATGCGAACTTGTTCTAAAAAAATTATTTTAAACTAAATATTTTTTAAAAAAAAATTATTATAAAAAAATTTTTTTTAATTTACCATCGTCTATTTCTGGAATATCGTCGTAGATTTCCAATTGGTCTTCGTATGTTTCCTCATCTGATTCCTCAAGTGGTCTTGTTTCAACCACTTGAGGTACATAATTTTGAGGCGCTTTATAAGCATTTTCGGGCACATAGGGTTTAACAACCTAGAAAGAAATACACATCCATTTTAAAAAAATACAAAACATTTATTTTAAAAAAAGAAAACAATAAACTTACAGCTACAGGTTTGACAAATAATTGACGTTTGACTTTTATTTTTTTACTTTCCTCAATTTTTTTTACTTTACCCATTTTTTATGTTGTAAGAAACAATTATATAATTTGATAAAATGCCTTTTTATATTTTTTATAACGAATATAATTAAAAAGCATTTGCTTTTTTTATATATTTTTTTTATAACGCTTGATTAACTTTAAACAAAAAAAATTTAATTTCTTTTATTTTAAAACATTATCGGATTATAACGTTATGACGTTATCGGATTATGACGTTAGTTATGACGAAGGTCGGGATGGAAGGTTGGGAGGAAAGTGAGTAAATCCTATATAGGTATATCATCATATATATATGCAGTAATTAAGTGGAAATATATTGATTGATTGATTGATTTAATCCGTTGAATTAACGAAATTTCAAAGAATCCGTAAATAGTTAATTTTACTCCGTTAATTTTCTGGTTTTTGGTAACGAATTAATCCGTTAAATTGACAAAAAAACGCAATCCGTTACTTATTTTAACGGACTGTTTTTAGAGCGTATATATATATATATACATATATATATATATATATATATATATATATATATATATATATATATATATATATATATATATATATATATATATATATATATATATATATATATATATATATATATACGTTGGTCCGACAAAGTGCAACGCGATGAAATTCTACGTAGATTTTCACCGCGTTGGCCCTACGTTGGGCCATTTTACTTTCAAAAATTTACTTTTGCGGTTTGTCAAACTGTTCTCGCAAAGCATTTTTATAAAGCATTTTATTCTCCATTTTAAAATAGTTTGCTTTTTATAATAGTATCGTTGTAAATCTTTATGAAAAGCAAATGAACTTTTTAGTTTTCTGCAGGAATATTATAGCGTCGCGTGCATAGAAATGTGCAGCTATATTTACAAAGGCTTCAATACAATATCTACATCATGGTTTTTGGTAAAAAAAAATTATATTTTAGTTAGTTTAGACAGAAATCATGGTACTACTAATATTCTTGAAGGTTCTGATAAAGTTTATAATGCTAATATTGTTGTTTATATTCCTGATCTTCTACATAAGCGAACAAATTTCTTCTAAATTCAATATAATTTTTTACATAGACTCTAATATTGTTAGCCTTATAGTTTATTTAAATACGAATTTTTTATTTATTTTGTTACATATATATATATATATATATATATATATATATATATATATATATATATATATATATATATATATATATATATATATATATATATCTTTTTGTAATATTATCATAACATAAATTTTCAGTACAGATATGAATAAAAAAATAAAAAAAATTTCTGAGTGCTCTGCCAGAACATTAAGGCGTCATGTACAAAATAATATTCAGCCACACTTACAGCAGCCTCAATCCAATATTTATGCTGTGGATTTTGAAAAATATACTGAAACTTCGTTTCGACAGAAATGTTGGTAATACTTTTCTTGGGGTGTCTGATTGTGACAACATAGCTGATATTAATATGGTTGATTATGTGTCTGATCTTGAAAATAGCGAAAACAATTCGAATTCTTCTATAAAAGATGTAATATCGGATAAAGATTGCTATATTGAGCAAATAGACTCTGTCAAAATTGATGAAGATGAAATAAATAAGATTATGTTTGTTAAAGAAAATATGCTTGTTTGTTCAAATAACGTCTGTTCACAAAAAATCCGGACTGATTTCAAATGTACACAAATTGTTCTAAATTTCGAATTTTCGAATCGAAATTTTTAAATTTAATCGGTCAACAACAACAGTTTCATTTTGTGGCAAAATTGACTTTAAATAATTAATTCAAATAAAGATGGAGCATCTAAAAGAGAACGATGTTAGAAATGTGATTGGAAATTTTTATGAACAAAACATAAACAGTGGAAAGAAATTTACAGTGGATCATTTTAAGAAAATGGGAATCGCTAAATCTACAATTTATGACATAATTAAAAGGTCTGAAAATAATTTGCCAATGAAAAGAAATATCGGTTGCGGCAAAAAACCTTTTAAAATCACACCAGAAAAGATAGAGTCCATGATTGCAAGAGCAGAAGCAAGAATCGGTATTTCGCAAAGAAAATTGGCACCAAAATATAAGATAAGCGTTTCATATGTAAATAGATTATTTTGTATGCATGGACTGAAGTATACCAAAAGAAAAAATGCACCAAAAACAACAGAAAAGCAAGAAATTAAACAAAAGAAAAACTAATTAAAACTTAAAAAAACTTTTTTCAAGCCATCAAATGAGTTTGAAATCATCATGGACGATGAATTTTATTTTTGTGTAAATGGTGCAAATTGTTCACAAAAATCTGGCTACTATACAAAGGATAGTTCTCAAACTGATCCTAACATTAAATTCAACTTCAAAAAAAAGTTTGACGAGAAAGTTCTCGTTTGGATTGCAATCAGTCGTTTCGGTCATTCATCGCCTTATTTTGCTGTAAAAAACTGTGCACTGGATGCAAAAACTTATTTTAAAGAATGTATTACAAAAAGACTTCATCCATTTACAAATTCCAAGCATCAAAACATGAAAATTTTATTTTGGCCTGACGGAGCGAGATGTCATTATGCAAAACACATATTAGAAACTTACAACACTTTAGGTATTAACTTTGTCGACGCTAAAGATAACCCCCCAAATGTACCGCAGTTAAGGCTAATTGAAAATTTTTGGGCACATTTAAATGCAAAAGTTTATGGAAATGGATTTACTGCGAAAAATCTTGGCCACCTTAAGAATAGAATTCGATTAAAGGTGAAAGAGTTCGATCCAGACTACTTTTTCAACCTAATGGATTCAGTCAAGACTAAAGTTCGAAAAGCCTCTGATTTAGGACCACTTTCGGTTATAAAATAGTTAACGATGTCCAGTCTCTCATTTTCGTTAAAATTTTTGTCAAAAATCGATTAATTTTGTATTCAATTAAAAACAATTTTTCATTCCGAATTTTTTGTGAACAGACGTTAATGTTTCTGATGAGTCTTCTGATGAGTCTTCTGATGAGTCTGATTACGATGATAATGACAGCAATATTAATTTTAATAATGAGTTGGCTCATTGGGGTATTAGTTGTAGCATTCCTCAAGTTTTTTGCGTAACTTATTAGCTGTTTTGAAACCACATTTTCCTTACTTGCCTATGGATCCTCGCACACTTTTAAAAACACCACGAAATACTATTGTTAAACTATTAGATAATGGCGGGGAGTATTGTCATTTAGGTTTAAAAACTGGTCTAACAAATATAATCCTAAAACAAATACAAATAAGTAAAAGTTCTCTTGTTCAACAATTTAATGTTGATGGGTTGCCGCTTTTCAAAAGTTCTGGTGCTGTTTTATGGCGAACCTTATGCATGATTTTACCTTTTCCCTCACCTCCATTTGTGGTAGGTATGTTTTGTGGAAAAAGCAAACCAAAATGCCTTGAGGAGTTTCTTTCTGAGTTTGTGATGGAGCTAAAAGACTTGCTCTCAAATGGCTTAAATGTTAAAAATATTTTGTACTCTTTTTCAGTTCATTCTTTTATATGTGATGCACCTGCAAGAGCTTTTTTGAAGAACATCAAATGCCATTCTGGTTATAGCTCATACGAGAAGTGCAGTCAAGTAGGAGAGTATTGTGGTAAAGTAATTTTCCCTAAAACTAATTCACCTTTAAGAACAGATAATTCTTTTGATGAAATGAAAGATGAAGAATATCACACTGGTAGTCGAAGTCCTTTATGCGATCTTGGTTTTGGTATGGTTTCAAGATTTGCTCTTGACTATATGAATCTGATTTGTTTGGGTGTTACAAGAAGATTGATCCTATACTGGAAAGGTCCTGTAGGACCTTATGCAGTGCGTTTGGGGACACGAGGTGCACTGGAATTATCAGAAAAATTGATTGCCTTTATTCCATTTATTCCTAGTGAGTTTGCCCGCAAACCAAGATCATTGTCTGAAATATTAAGATGGAAAGCTAAAGAGTCTAAACTCTTTAGCTTCCATTTCTTTTCTTTGGAAAATGGAAAGCTAAAGAGTCTAAACTCTTTAACTTTCCATTCCAATATCTGTTATATACAGGCCCTGTAGCGTTGCAAGGCATTTTAGGCAACAAACTATATAAACATTTTCTACTTTTGTTTGTTGCTAATAAAATATTATCCACTAAAGAAATAACAAATAATTTATGTGATTATTCAAATAGTCTGCTTATTAGATTTGTAGAGGAAATGAAATTACTTTATGGAAAAGAAGCAATGGTATATAACATACACAATCTAGTTCACATTTCTGCAGATGTAAAATTGTTAGGATCATTAGATGACTTTAGTTGCTTTCCTTATGAAAATCTACTTGGTGTTTTAAAAAAATTAGTAAGAAAACCACAAAATATTTTGCAACAAATATGCAGCCGTCTCACAGAAAAACTTAATACACATAACAGAAAAGCAAAGCTTGATATTTTGAACAGTTTACCCCTTCTTGTACCAAAAAGTATTCATTGTTGTGGTCCTTTGTAAACATTTTCAGATGTTGAACAATATACGATGTTAAATATAGGAAATTATTGTCTCTCTTTGTCATCAAAAAACTGTAATAATCATTTTCTTACTAGTGGTGGTGATTTCTGCATATTGAAAAACATAATTAATCAAAATAGCACTATATTTGTAATTTGTCAAAAATATTTGCAGTTGTCAGAATTTGATTATCCATTAAACTCAAGTGAACTTGAAATATATAGAGTTACCAATAGAGTGTTTCCTCTAATTGTTTTGCCTACATATGATATTGCTAAAAAGTCTTTGTCTACCAAGAGCTGGTAACAATGAGTTTGTAATTTTCCCAATTGATTGTAAATAGTTTTTCAAAAGAAAATTTTTTGATAAATGGCTTTTATGATTTGTTTTTAAATTTGAATAAGGTAATGTGTATCAAAAGCATTATTGAATTTTGAAAACGACATTAATATTCTTGATATACATTACCTTAATACAAAATTTAAATTTGTTGACACAGAAAATCATAAACTGTAAATATAATAAAGTAAATAACATGATAATAGTGTAATTTTTAAATATAAATAAAAATAGATTATAGTATAATTAAGAAATATCTGCTTTGATTTTGTAATTTTTACAATTGTTGTCGGAAACAAGTCTGGAAAAATCCCAATCCATGACATGTTAGAAAGCATGACATGTTTTTAGAATTAGATTAGAATCCATGACATGTTAGAAAGCAAAATTGTTTTTTTTTTTTTTTTTTTTTTTTTGGTCTTTGAGCATTGTGGTGAACGGACGTGTTTTTCTTTGCAGTAATAAAAAGTATATAAAATATTAATAATTCTTTGTGTATTATTTTTACATAAAATATTTCATCTGGAATGACTAAATCGGAAGAATTTGTATCGATTGTAATGATGAGGGAAATGTTAAATCTTCAAAAAGAAACAATTATATCTTTTTTTCGGGAATCAATATCAAGCACAAACCTAAAGTTTGATATTTTCCAATCGAGTATTCAAGATATTCGTCGCGAACTTAACGATCTAAAATCAGGGTTGAATTTTGTTGGTGGAGTATGCGAAGACAAGGTTAAAGCTGTAGGCGAAAAAATAAACAAAGTTTGTGAAGATTTAACTAATGTCAGAAAAATGCAGGGAAAAATATCCTCGGACAATACGGAACTAAAACTAAAAAGCGTAGATAATGAAGATCGAAACAGGCGCAATAACTTAAGAATCGATGGGATTATTGAAACAAATGAAGAAAAGGATTGGGATATAACTAAAGAAAAAATAAAACAGCTTTTTAACGTAAAACTTGGAATCGAGAAAGATATTAAAATTGAACGAGGCCATCGAGTTGGGCTCGCTAAATTAGAACGAGAGCGAACCATTGTACTAAAGCTTACAGATTTTGAAGATAAAAAAGTAATCTTAGAAAATGCAATAAAATTAAAGGGGAGTAATATTTTTATAAATGAAGATTATAGTTTTACAACTCGTAAAATACGCAAAGAACTTTTTGAGCAGGCGAAGCTTCATCGTCAAAATGGTCATTATGCTAAAGTCGTGTACAATAAACTTATTGTTCATGAATTTAAAGAAAACATCCACAAAGTAGTTAACTTGAAGCATTGAAATGAAGCAATCGAACGCAACGCAGCTGTTTGTTTGACGCACGGAAACAAGTAAGCTTTTTAAAAGTTTTTGGTTTAATTTATTGTTATATTTTTTTAATCTTTTTAAATTATTCGTTAAAAATGGCTACGCATTTTGAAAATTTAAAATCTTTTGAAGAAAACATAAATATTTTTCAAGAAACTCAAATTAACTTAAATGACTCACCATATATTGATCCTTTTGATTTTAAAACAATAAATGATCATTGTTCTTTTTCACTTTACATATAAACATTAGAAGCATGCAGCAAAATTTTGAGAAACTAAAAGAATTTTTAAATATAATAAATTACACGTTCGACGTCATAGCTCTTTCAGAGACTTGGCATGATTTTGAAAATTCTCTTGAATTAAATTCTATTTATAATTTGCCATTTTATAAACTTATAAGTCAACAAAGAAAAAGTGGAAAAAAAGGTGGAGGGTTAGGGCTTTATGCTCAAAAAAGCACGATTTTAAAATAAAAAATGTATAAAGCTTCTCAAATGATAATTACCAAAGTCTATTTGTTGAAATCATAAACAAAAAAATTCGAAATGTTTTAATTGGATGCGTTTATCGTCCACCAAGTGGTAACGTCAAAACATTTGAAACTTTTATCAAAAACACAATTGAAAAAATAAATAAAGAAAATAAAACTTTTTACGTTATTGGAGACATAAACCTTGATGCTCTAACTTGTTCAAAATTTCCAAAAACAAAATCCTTTTTTGATATGCTACTTAAATTTAATGTCTTGTCAGCAATTAATAAGCCAACACGAGTGACAAAAACCTCGGCAACGGCAATTGACAATATTTTCATTAATAATTACCTGGAAATGGAACTTGAAACCGGGATATTCATGACTGATATTAGTGATCACTTTCCGATATTTATAAAAGTAAGAAATTTAAAAACCATGTCTGATTATGAACCAAAAGTTATAAATTTGAAAAAACGCAATCTTAAAACAAGTAACACTAATGAATTATCAATCAGACTAAAACAAGAAACGTGGTCCAACGTGTATACCCAGCTAGCAAGAAGTTATTGGCCCAATGTATAAAACAACATTGGCGAAATATTTGGATTGGGCCAATGCTTCTCCAATGCATGTACGTTAAGTTTTATTTCTAATATAATTTAGCCGACGCAACTGTACGAATAGCACAAACACTTTTTGTGATACGCGTATTTGACAAATACAAGGTTTCCATCGTTAACGTAGTATCAAAGATCTTAACTAGATTCTAATCTTTAAATATAAATATTCATTTGACTTATTGTATTTCAGTTAAGTAACATTTATTACAATAGTATGTAAATATTTTTATACAAAGTGCAGTTTGAAAAAAATTATTTTTCATGCACTGAAAAATTAAAAAAAATTGTTGTTATAAAAAGAAAATAAATAAATAAAAGTGAAGTAAATGAAAAAATATATGCTAATTTTTTATTGTAAATAATTATTATATAGAAAATGGATAGCTATACAAAAGATTATTCATACTCTTCCATTCGTCGAAAAGCTAAAAAACAAGCTGAACTTGATTTAAATACAGTATATAATAATCTTCCTGCCCGTACCAATTTTTGTGATGTCAAGCAGCTAGTTCAGCAGGAAGATATAACTTTATTAAAAGATGAACAAGTTTTTTTAAAAAAAATTACATCAACTAATACCCAGACAACAGATTTTAATTTACAGAGTAATTTTAGTTCTGAAACAATCAGAGATTTAAATTTTGCTAATGATAATGTCAATGATATTGATTCGGAGGAAAATAACTATGTTTCATCTAGCTCTGATAATCAAGATGAAAATTTTAATGGTGAAATAAACAACATACTTCGCGATTGGTCTCTGCAATATAAAATAACCCATGTGGCGCTTGCATCACTTCTATGCATTCTTAAACCATATTTCCCAACTTTACCACAACATCCAAGGACATTATTAAAGACACCTACAATATTTGTTAAAAAACTAAAAAGTGGAGGAGATTATTGTCACATTGGACTTGATAATGGTTTAAAAAACTGCATTAATGATTTGTTTATACCTGAGAATACAAACATCCACTTGCAAATTAACATAAAGGGATTGCCTCTTTTCAAAAGCTCTGGTGGGTCAGTATGGTCAATACTTTGTATTGTAAAGAACTTCAGTATGAAAGAACCATTTGTTGTAGGAATATATAGCGGAAAAGAAAAACCACCAAGTGCAGCAGAGTTTCTTGAAGAGTTTGTTGAAGAAACTAAACATTTAGTAGATAATGGTTTTCTGTTTAATAACAAAAGGTATTCTGTTAAAATTCATTCATTTATCTGTGATGCACCTGCTAGAGCATTTGTCAAAGGTATAAAAGGTCACTCTGGTTATAATTCATGTGAAAAATGCACAACAAATGGTGAATATGATGGCAAATTAATTTATCCTGAAACCAATGCACCACTACGAACAGATTTATCTTTTTTTCATATGATTGACAAAAAACATCATCTCTGAGAGTGTCCTCTAAAACTGTTGAATGTTGGTTTTGTTAGTCAGTTTGGTCTAGACTATATGCATCTGGTTTGTTTAGGAGTCATGAAGCGATTGATTCTTTATTGGAAAGGCCCAAAAGGCCCTTTGCACGTTCGAATTGGTACACGTGCAATGGATCAGTTGTTTAATAGTCTAAATTCCTTATCACAAAATATTCCTTCTGAATTTTCCAGAAAGTGTCGTTCTGCTCATGAAGTTTTACGCTGGAAAGCTACTGAATTTCGTCTTTTTTTACTGTATCTGGGCCCATTAGTGCTCTCAAATGTTTTATCATTGCCTTTATACAATCATTTTATGTTACTAAATGTAGCTATAACAATATTGGTAGATCCAGTGTTTTCTAAGGATTACTCTGAATATGCTCACGAATTACTTGTTTTATTTGTAAATGAAGGTAAAAGTCTCTATGGTAAAGGATTTCTTGTTTACAATGTTCACTGCCTTATTCATTTATCAAAAGATGTGCAGACACTTGGTCCATTAGATAATTCTAGCAGTTTTCCTTTTGAGAATCTGTTAGGACAGTTAAAAAAAATGATTAGGAAACCACAATTTCCAATTCAGCAATTAGTTCGAAGATTAGGAGAGAGGAAACTAAGCAGTAATTTAAAAAATGATAATAACTTGGATGAGCTTAATTTACTCAAAGGTGAACATTTTAATGGCCCTTTACCTAATGGGTTTGAACATGCAAAACAATTTAAAAAAGTTCAGTTAGAGAAATGGTTTTTTTCAACATCAAATAAAGATAACTGTTTTATTACAAATGATGGTATACCGTGTATCATTCGTAATATACTACTTATAAATAATGATATTACATTTGTTTGTGAAAAATTCCTAACTGTTTATGAAAGTTTTATGTTTCCAATTTCATCAACAAAATTAGGAATCTGTAAAGTGTCTAGAAACAGTTTATCTAAATTGCAACTTTTACCTGTTTCAATGGTTTTCAAAAAATGTCTTTGTCTCCCTACTAAAGTTGAGTCATCAGATTATTTTATTGTACCCCTGTTGCATTAAACTTTTATTTGCTAATAGATAATATAATACAAAAAATTATTTTTTAGATTTTTTTTTAATTAGATTTTTAAAAAATGTTAGTCGAATTTATACTTTTATTTTAGACTTTTTATTTTTGATACTTAATTATAGTTGTTTTATAATTAATGTCTTAATAAAATGAAATGTGAAATGATTACTGAAAATAAAAATGTTAACTTTATTTTTAAATATATATTTATATATATATATATATATAATATATATATATATATATATATATATATATATATATATATATATATATATATATATATATATATATGTATATATATATATATATATATATATATAGTATATATATATATATATATATAATATATATATATATATATATAATATATAAATATATATATATATATATATATATATATATATATATATATATATATATATATATATATATATATATATATATATATATATATATATATATATATATATATATATATATATATATAAAGTTCTATGATTTATAAAGAACTTTTCAATTACAAATTTGTTTACTTATAAAGTTGTTAAGTTATATATTTTAACTGTAAAGTCAATTATTTCAAATTATCTTTTAATTGATTGAATAACATTAGATTATTTATTTATATAGTTAAATATTCTGGCATCATTTAAAATTTCATTTGAAAAACATCATTTTTTATTGAGCCCTAGATTTTACCATCAATTTTTATTGAGCCCTTTTTTTAAATACAGTTTAGTAATTAATGAATTTTTTGACTTCCTTATTAAAGCAGTTAATCATAATAACCTTCCTTATGGATGTTGACTGATTTAAAAAGAGTAATTTTAAATTTTTGTTTGAGATAAAACAAAAGTACAGGAGTGGTTTGTTTAAATTTATTGTAGTAAATAATTTTGTAATTTTTATTCTATTCTATATAATAAAATGTCATAAAGATTTCTATGTTTTAATTTTTTAAATATTTTGCTTAAGTTATTTTAGAAAATGGAGTTTGCTATCATGCATTTTATAAATGATAACTCTGTAGCAATTGTACCAGTGAAGTGGATTGTCAATGTGAATTTCTGTTACTGGCCCCCTTATCGTGGTAGTCGATTAGAAAACTCTATACAAAAAAAAGAAGAGCCCAAATTATCTTGGGAACAGCTGCCAGCTAGATCATTACATTTATATGGTAATTGTTAATAAAGTTCTTTGATAACCTTTTAAAATTACATTAAAGTTAAAATAAATGATAAAAGTCTAAAAAAAATAATAAAAGTAACATTTTTTTATTTTATTAAAAAATAACTATTTTATAATAAGTATTTTGTAAATTATTTGTTTTTTTATTTGTTTTTTTAAACTTTTTTAGCAAGCCATGAAAAAGCACATCAAAATTTAAAACAAGCGGAGTTAGATACCTCAGCTCTTGACACAGATCATGATGAACAAATTTCTATGTCAAAAAAGCGCCGAAAAAATTTTTCATTGTCTAATGAAGAACATATTGAGGACAATCATACAAAGCTTAAATGTCCGAATGTTCCACCAGGACTGGCAAACCCTTTAGTAAAATCACTTGTTCAGCCTAATAAGCTCACATTTCATCCTAGGCTAAGAAATACCAATAATACAACTAAACCATTTCAGGCAGTAGTATCAAATACAATTTCAGGTAAATATAATTTCAATACACCAGTTCGAGCCGCGTTACGGAGAATTAAAAGAAAAGACTGGATCGAGTTTATAAGGGAAACAAATCAAGTCGTAAAATTTAATTCTTGAGTAAACGAAGTATAAACAAACAACTAAAACAAATCCTATCACTATTAAAACAAATACATAACATATATAAATCAAAATGGATTATGACACAGTGTGTAGTATGAAGGTTGAAGAACTGAAGTCTTATTTACGTCTTCGTGGCTTGAAAATATCTGGAAAGAAAGAAATTCTTGCAGCTCGAGTCTATTGTGCAATGGAAAACAATGTTACGCCTATTAAAACAGCTGAAGAGGTGGAGCATGATATACTTACTGAGTACAAAAAAAAACTTTTTATAAACGGCGTTGAACTACCTGATCCTTTTAAGCTTAGTAATGGTTGGTTATCAGAAGATGAAGGTCTAACTTGTTGGCCAACATTGTTATATCCTGATATTTACAATTATTTGTTATTTAACCCTGCTGAAATTGCAAGTAAAGACTTAAGTGACTACAAAACGTGTAAAGCTTATAGTTATTTTAAATGTGGCTGGCTTGAACCTTTATTTTACCATCAAATAGGAATAGAGAGTGAATATTGCTATTTAAAAGGGAACTGTAGGAAATCTGAAAAAATTAATGATCCCTTTCACAAGCTATGGATTATTATTAATAAAAAAACTGCAAAAATAATTTCAGCACATTGCACTTGTCTAGCTGGTCTATCGCAGACATGTAATCATGTTGCTGCAAGCCTCTTTCGAATAGAGGCTGCTGTTAGAAATGGTTTGACAAATGTAGCTTGTACTAGTTCAAAATCAGAGTGGCTTCCAAATCGTAGCATAGTAGCACCAACAAAAATATGTGACTTAAAATTTGATCGTGATGAATTTGGTCAGCGTGGAAGAAAAAAGCGTTCACTAGTATCAAATGAAAAGCGTAATTACAGCCCATTAGTAAACTGTGATATAAAGCTTTTAAATTTAACAGACATAGCAAAAGCAATCGAAACTGTTGCTCCTCATAGCATTATAACTTCTGCTGTACCTAAACCTGAAATTTATTATATGGAAGAATTAATCGTGTTTGAAAATGTTACCAAACCTACAATTTTGACCATGGATGATATTATTGTTATGTCAGACAATAAATTTTCTTTTTGTGAAAATATAAAAACAAATATGACTCAAAAAATAATTACAAATATAGAGCGTCTGACTATGGGTCAAAACACAAATAAGCTTTGGTTTAATTTTCGAAAGCGAGTTATAACTGCTTCAAAAGCTCACGATGTTCTAAAAAAAATTAAAAAGATTAACATGGGCATTAAAGTTGACATGTGGTAATTACACCAAAGTATTTCAGGGTTAACTTTTGTGAACCCAGATATACCTGCATTGAAGTACGGGAGAGCGATGGAAGTTGAAGCAGCAAACCAGTTTTTTGAAGTTATGAAATCCTTTCATCAAAATTTAACTGTAAATGAATGTGGATTATTTTTAGATGTAGAAATGCCCTATATAGGTGGAAGCCCTGATAGAATTGTTCGATGTTCGTGTTGCCCGCCAGCTTGTTTAGAAATAAAATGTCCATTTTCTATAAACCATACATCACCACAAGATCCTAATATATCTCTTCCTTATATTACAAAAAAGTTAAATGAAAAATTTGTCATTAACAAAAAGCATAGATACTATACTCAATGTCAGGTTCAAATGGGGACTGCTAAGATGATTAATTGTTATTTTATGGTATGGACAGCTCATGGTTATATAATTGATAAAATTGCATTTGATGAAGCTGGTTGGTTGAGTATGAAAGTTGATTTCTTTAAGTATTACAACGATCATTACTTAAATACTGTCTTTGTAGATTTTACTATTAACTGATTGGAATAAAATTATGAAAATGAAAATCTGTGTTTTAAATTATAAAACCCTTCTTATATTTAAATTGGCATTTATAGATTTTTTTTTTCCTATAAAAGAAGACAATAAGATCCAAATAATGGTGTAACAATATTTAGGTAAAGAATATACTCAAAATCAAAAAGTTTATCCACGCCTCTTATTATAGTAAAAAGAAGTAATAAAATGAAACACATGTATTCATTAAAAGTGCACGGTGGTGTCCGGCATCCCTTACAAGTAATTAAAAATTAAAAAAACAACCTCAGTAATTAAATAAAAAAATACAACCTCAGTACTATCGTGTGTTTGATACAAGAAGGGGAGGAAGTTTAGTAATTTTCCAAAAGTTTTCCCACCCACAAATGTTTATTAAGACCACTCCCCCTTCCATTTATTAACACCAAAAATTAAAAAAATCTCTTTAATCTTTGTGGAAAATAATATTTTGATTTTAATAAAAAAAACTTTTCCTCACTTTATACACAGGGTGGCCACAGCTCCTCTAAAGTATTATTGTAATTATAAAACAGTTGTTAAAGATGCACAGTTGACCACAATCCACACTAACTTAAATTGATTTATGCAAGTTCTGTAAAAAAAAAAAAAAGCCAACCCTTAAATTAAGATTATTATTTATAAGGTCAGAAATAAAATATACACCCTTTCTTGTATTAAGCATTTAAGAGTAGTACTAAATTAAAAAATATATATACATTTTAAACAATTTTTTTTATTAAAGCAGGCTTTAAATTGCACAAAGCTGCACACGATAAAATAATATCATCCATATGATGAAGCATTGAAATAGGTAATACATTTTTTAATATTCGAAAAGTTTTTATTCTGTTTATTGCCCTTTCTATGTGAATTCTTAAGTTAGCAACATCAGTAGTCTTCTTACATTCACTTGCAGTCATTTGACTTTTTACTCTTGCACCTGGTGGGACTGATAAGCTGCAATAACGAAATAATAGTTCTTCTCTTATTTGAAATCCTCTGTCTGCCATCACCTCATCGTCTCTTTCCAACAGATCATAAAAACCACTGTCACTTGTAATAAATTTATCTGATGCTCTGCCACCGTAACATTTGGATAGAAACGTTATGTATTCATTTGGTGCTATACCAATTAATACTTTCACAGTGTTGTGATGCTTATAATCAGACCAAGTCACTGCTTGGTTGTAAAGGGACTTTGGACGTTCAATAAATATTTCAAAACAATCAAGAATCACTCTACACTTGTGATGCTTTGCTTTCACAAAAGACTGTGGCAAGTTTTTTTTTATGACTTCACTTGGCAGCCAAACAATAATAGCTTGTCCAAGAATATTAGCAATAATTCTAATAAAAGTTGTAAAAGTATTAGAACACAAAGATTTTGAAATACCAAAACGATCAGCCATATCTTCATTTAATAAACCTAAGCGCAACCGCATAAGTGTCATTAAAAGTTCTTCTCTGTGTGATAACAGTTTACATTTAGATACAGATTTGAGTTGCTTAACTTTGCTATGTGAATGTTTTGGGCCTCTCCAATAACGAATTGAGGGTAAAAATGGTTTTAATAAACCAAAAATAACGTTAAAAATAGCGATGGAAGATATACCAGTATAAAAGTTCATTTTCTTATCATTGTTAACTAATCTCCAAGAGAATTTTTGTTTAGACTTGACTGTTTGTTTTATTTTTAATTTTTTTAATTGATTAGTAAGGCTATTTACTTTACTCACGTAAGAGGTGATAAGTGAAGATTTGTATTCACATGAAGTACATTTATTAGGTAGTGGTAAACTCATTGAATAGGTATGGTCTGATACTATAGGTGACAAAACATCTGCATTAAAACTAACACTTGGAAACTTGGTGACATTACTTTTTTCAGTCAACAAAGGTTCTACAGGCTGCATTTTATTAGAACAATGTAAAGAAGTGATTGGGTGCTTTAATAATGTTCTTCTTGCTTTTTTTTGTACAGGTTGATCAAAACCCATATTTATTGTTGGATTAGGGTTCATAACAGTTGGTATTTTATCAACAAAATGATCAGAGCATACTCTATCAGCAGTTCCAGGTTCCCATGCACTTCCTTTCTTCTTTCCTTCTCGTCTAAGCTGACTAATCCAGTGTTTTCTTTTTTCGCTATTTCTCTTTAAACTTGGGAAACAAAACATTCGGAATGGTAACACACATCCACACTCGGATAATATCTTCCCTTCGTGTTGAAAACACGTTTTATTTTTCAGTTTTTCTAGCTTATAGGAACTATTGGTACATCCTATAACAGCACAATTAACTTTCATCTTATCACTATATATTGTATCACTAATTCGCAACTGAGAAAATAAATATTTACCCTTCTAAATTCGTTCCAGGACTTTTTTGCGCGGTATTAATAATGGCAGAACTTCCCTTGAACAGGTGTATTTATCTTTAACAAGGTTAAAGTTGCTTTAACATTAATTTTTCAATTTTTTATTAGTTTTTTATAATTTTTAAAATTGTAGATGTTTTATTAATTTTAATATCTGCTGTATTAAGAAATGTTCAGTAATGTATTTATAGTAATTTTTTCTTTAGGGGAGAATATAATAATGGATTCATCAGGTAATTAAATTTTATAATAAATTTTTTTTGCAATGAATCATATTTGCTTTCAAGATGCATGGTTTGTTTTTCAGTGAATAATATGTAATGTTTATTTTATTATTATTACAATGTTTAAATGCTTATTGGTTGTTTATGATTTTAATATAATACTTATGATTTGTAAGATTGTAATATTTATTTTTTATAGTTTCGAAATTGTTATATTTGTAAAAAACACATATTATAAACATGTTATATATGTACAAAGCACAACTTTTCTTTGGCATCACATGTGACATTGTCATCCTGTGAATTTGTTTTAACGGTTGTTTATGAATATTTAATGGGGAATAAATTTATAATAAAGTAGCAATTTATAACATTATTATAATTGGTTGTATTTATACTAGTATAATATACAAAGTTTTTATGCAATATCTTTGACAAGTTTTCAATGAGTTGTTTTGCATAATCATTCCTTAAAACTAACATAATAAACCTTTTAATTGGTCTTTTTTTTAGCAAGTTGTGAGATCGCTTTCCCAGAAAAAAGAAATCAGGAGTTAAATATGTCTGATGAAGAAAATGAAGATTTCACGATACATTCTTGCACAGCTAAATCACCAGAAACTGAGAATTTGATTGATCAAGCTCAGCCAAATTTTAGTTTGTATTCCCAATTTAAAAGCATCACTAATTCATCTCCGTCAACCCCAAATGCAATCTCAGGTATTATTTTTTGCTGCCTAATATGCTAAAGTTTTAGAATATAATATGCTAAAGTTCTGTAGTTAATACTACTTTTACTAGTTTGTTATTTGAAATGGAATTTGCAAAATTCTAAACAATAATAGAAATTTCAATGCATGTTAAGAAATAAAAATTTTATTATATTTTTTACAAAGAAAATGAAAAAAGGTTTCATTTTGATGAGTTGTTTAATCGATTATATTCCACCTTATCTTTGAAATTGTTATAAATATTATTAATCCCTTTTTTGAATGAAAATGCTGAAATTTTAATTTTATTTAAATTTTGCCTTTTTTTTTGTGCAAAAAACTATACAAAAAAGTAGTTTTATATAATTGCTTTATATAATAACCATAAGATTTAAATATTTAAAATTTTAATATTTTTCTAAACTTTAGGAATACTTCCAAAAGATCTGCATGTGATTCTAAGCAGACTTGCATCAATAGAGACAAAGCAGGCCATGCATTCACAAATTTTGAATTCAATCCTTAATGCTGTAACTCAGCATAAAAGTTATGATACTTTGCCTGAAGGCATAAATCTTCCTCTTGATTGTATACAAGAATTAAAAGATTTTGATGAGAAACTAAAAGAAAATAGCACTTTCAAGTTATTAGTATGTTATTTCCATAATTTTGATGTTGGTTTTTTTGAATGTATATATGTTCTACTATATTTTATACATATTTATATATTTTATCAGCCCTCAGAATAAAAAAAAATGAACTCGCCAATAAACTGCCGACCTTAAACTGTTAGAGGTCAGCATCAGGTCGGCAAAAAATTTTTGACACAAAGGTCAAACTATAAAACATAGAAAGGAGGTCGGGGATTTTATGCCGACCTCAAACACTTTTAGTTACACCGACCTCAAACACAGTTAGGTCGGCATTGCCGAATGCCGACCCTTATTCTGAGGGCTGGTTTTACATATTTCAGGGTTCCCACTCGGTATGCAAAACATTTTTATTTGTTTTGATGTATTTTTTAATTTTTGAAGTTTTTGAGGTATTTTTTAGTTTTTTGTAATTCAAAAATCATTATCATGTTTCTATGATTAATAAAAAGTTAACTGTTTTGTTAATAATACTTCGAACGTTTTCACACAAGTTAAAATAAATTCTATAGGCATCAGTTCTTTTATTGTTCAATAAGATGTAAAAAAATTCAATAAGCTATTATGAAATAATAACTTCATATGCCATATATTAAATTGAAAGCATACAAAGACATGCATATTGTTATATAGGAGTATGCAAAAGCATGCAACGTTATAAAGAAATAGCATGCAAATTTAGTAAAATGTAGCATGCAACGGCATGCAATTATCTTAAATGTAGGCTAATTAACTTATTAAATGATTAGTTAATTATTATTCAGTTGACATAAGGTTAATTAGGGTTAATTATATTAAATATGTTAATCAAGGTTAATCATCTTGCTCAAATTGGTGGAAGAAATATTGGTGATACAACGCGTAGATTGTTAAGAACACTTTTCTCAAAAGGGTTATCGTTGCAATTAAACTTTGCCGGTAGGAGTGGAAAAGTTGGAATCGGCAACATCAAAATAACTTCTCTTATTGTCAGTAAGTCTATAATTGACTTTTATAATTGAATTTTAAATACTTTGGTCATAAAAAATCTGTTCATATGTAAACTAAAATTTTAGTTTCTACGGCTATACGTGTGGAAACTAAAATAATGAAACTTAATTTTTTAAGTTGTTATGGTGAAAGTATTATTTTTGTTAAATATAACTAATAAATTTTTTTTGCTGTCCCGATACCAACCAAAAAAATAAATTTAGAGATAAATATTTTCTTAATAGTAATTACTACCTAAGTAGTTAAATGAGGATTTAATTTTCCTTTTCTTTTCAGGTGTTGTTAAGAAAAACAAGTTATTGAGTGACGTCACTACTTCAAGTGTTGAACAACTTGTAAAGATTTGGCTTAGGCAGTCCTGCGACCGCGAAGGAGGCAGAAATGATCCAGAACGAGGGAGTAAACGATCACTCCAAAAAAATTTAATTCGAGACAATCAATTGTTATAACTTATAGTAAAAATTATATAGTTTAACGGTTTATTCTGATGAAATATTTAAGCATACGTTAACTACAGACTATTTTCTCAATTTGTTTAATTTAAATCGGGGTAATCACATCACATCATTGAATACTTTATTGACTTGTTTCTCTTTATTGAATCAAGTTTTGTTTTGGCTGTAATGTAATTCAAGTAAAATAAAATCATAATTTTAGCATTGCTAAAATTGCGTTTTTTGAATATTGGGTTAACATATTTTAAACATACGTATAATTATAACATTGGCTAAACGTTGTTTTTAGCATTGGCCAATGAGCATTGGTCGTACCTTGCGCCAATGATCACTCCGGTATTGGTCCAACGCATTATTCCAACATTGTGCCAATGCAAGTCAATGCATTGGGCCAACATTGGGCCAATTATTTTTTGCTGGATGGGTAGATGTCAGGACACCAACGAAGCTTTCAATAATTTTTTAGATATATTCCTAGATTGCTTTAATAAAACCTGTCCTCTAGAGGGCATAATAATTAAGACAAAAACAGTTTCTAATTCGTGGATGGATAAATCACTGATAAAATGCTCAAAAAAGAAGCAAAAACTTTATAATAAATATCTTAAAAATAAAAACACTGATAACGAGAAAAATTACAAAAATTATAAATATTTTTACCAAAATCTGATTAAAAAGGCAAAAAATAAATACTATAGTAATGAAATCATTAAATGCAAAATCTGATAGTAAGAAAACGTGGTCCGTCATTAACAAAATAATGGGACGAAAAAAAATAAACACAACTTCTTTACCAAAAAGAATTAATATTAACAATACAGACATATTCTGTGAAAAACAAATATCCGAAGAATTTAACAAATACTTTATAAATATTGGTCCAAATCTCGGTAATAAAATAAATCCAACAACTGATTCATTTAAAAACTATCTAACACCCACAAATAAAGCCATCATGTACGATAAAGACTTTGTATATAAAGAATTTGAAGAAGCCTTTTCCTCTTTAAAAAAAAGAAAGCACCTGGATTTGATGAAATAACTAGTGATTTAGTTATCTTTAATAAAACCAGTTTAAGTAGACCTCTGATCCATATACTAAAGCTCTCAATAACATCTGGGATTTTCCCTGATGTACTTAAATTAGCAAAAGTATATATTTATAATCCCTATATTTAAATGTAATGAACATTCGGACATAACCAACTTTAGACCTATATCAATACTTTCTGTTTTTTCAAAACTCTTCGAGCGTGTAATTTATAATAGAATCTATAATCACTTTACCAAAAACAAATTATTTTACCCAAACCAGTTTGGATTTCAAAAAAACCTTTCAACAGAGCATGCAATTATTGAATTAGTTAACCAAATAACCGATGGTTTTAATCAAAACAAATTTACTTTAGCAGTTTTTATTGACTTATCAAAAGCTTTTGATACAGTTGACCACTGCATCCTATTAGATAAACTAAAATACTATGGTATAATTAATAAAACTTACAATTGGATTAAAAATTATCTTACCAATAGAAAACAATATGTGTGCAATATACAATCTGGAGTATTAAATGTTTTATGTGGAGTTCCCCAAGGATCTATCCTTGGTCCACTTCTGTTTCTAATTTATATAAATGATTTTTGCAATGCATCTTTAAAACTAAATTCAGTCATGTTTGCTGACGATACAAATCTATTTCTTACTAACAGTGATATCAAGAATTTATATGCAGACATGAATATCGAACTAATTAAAGTAAATAATTGGTTTAGAGCTAACAAACTCTCGCTTAACTCAGAGAAAACAAAATATATATTATTCCATAAAAAGGCGCAAGAAGAAAACCTTCCTCTTAAGTTGCCTGACCTTATCCTAAATGATAACTTAATTAAAAAACAAGCCAGCATTAGATTCTTAGGAGTTCTTGTTGATGAGAAGCTATCCTGGCTTCCTCAAATAAGATATATTCAATCTAAAATCAGTAATATAATTGGTATGATGTATAGAGTTCGCTCATATATCAATAAACAAAGTCTAAAACTAATTTACTTTGGACTAATTCATTGCTTTATCAGCTATGCAAACATATCATGGGCAAGTACTCAGCCATCAAAACTTAAAAAAATCTATAGTCTACAAAAACACGCATGCAGAATCATTTACTTTAAAAATAAGCGGGAGCATGCAAAACCTATAATGAAAGATATGAAAATGATGGATGTTTTTGAAATAAATATCTATCAGCATTTAATTTTTATGTATCAATTAAATAATAATCTCTCTCCTACAAACTTTACTATCAAGTTTGAAATAAACATAAATGAAAACTACTATCTAAGAGCAAATATAAGTAACACATATAAACTGCCTCAAAACCTTAATAAATATACTGAATATAGCATTGCATATCGGGGGCCAAATATATGGAATAGATATCAAAAAGGATCCAAATGTATGGCAAAGTCATTAAGTTCATTTAAGTTTCTGATAAAAAAAGAAATTTTTAAAATTTGATTATTATTTGTGCTTAAAAGGATTACAAAGTAATTTTCTTTATAATCTTATTTATTTGTTTTTATTGATCAGCGCAGCAGTTTTATGCCCATTAGGGTTTTTAATTTAATTTAATATCCATAACCTAATGAAAATGTATATAGGGGGCTCTATGAAAAGATTGCGATGACGTTTTGTCATCTTCATCTTCTTTGAGCCCCTGTCTGTTTAACTCTTTATTTTATAAAGATCATTGTAAAAAAGTATAGTTTATTTTATATACTGTATATACAAAAACGGTGCTTGTTGACATGATTTTACTGTCTTCTTTGTTATACGGACATATTTTTTTCTTTCTTGTATATATATGTGTTGATTATATTTGTTAAACAGCAAAATAAATGTTAAAAAAAAAAAAAAAAAAAAAAAAAAATTTTAGCAATTAGCAAACAAAATATCTCTGAACAAAAGAAATATGAAAAGTTAGACAAATTTACATTGGTGTAAGGTATCTACTTTATTTTTTTTTTCACAATTTTAAATGCCTAATTTATTTGAATGCAGTTTAAATGGCTCTTAACTGCAAAGTAATAATGTCCGTGTTGGGAAAAATTAATCCGAGCAAAAAGAATATGTTTAAAGAGTTTTTTTTTTGTGTGTGTGTGTGTGTGTGGGGGGGGGGGGGGGGGAGATGCTTCATATTGTTTTTTCTCTAATTGCTGACTTGATTTGTCATTCGATTTACTTCAAGACAGCTGTTTTGGTCATATAATAACTTGAGTATGTTTATAAAATCACTTGTTTTGCTTGAAAATAGTAGCTAATGCAAGCAGTTTATTTATACCAACAAAAAATCACAAAAAATGTTGCTGCAAGATATTACGATATGAAAATACTATATTGTTTCTTTTTAAATTTCAAATATGTTTACTTTTCTTTTAGTCAGTAATGTGAGTAATAAATGGCATAACAAATCACCTGGTTTATCAATGTTACAAGGTAAGTTAAGTATTTTAATTTTTTGTTTGTTTTATAGATGTAAATATTATAATTCAAAACATTTACAAGTTGTGTAATGTTTTTGTGAAATCTTTAATCAAGGGGAAGCCGATCATGCACCCTTCGAAAAAGTTAGCACACCATTTCACACAGAAAGTGGTAATAACTGTTACTATGGTAATTAAACTGTTAGCATTAAAAATTTTGTTAATGTTGTTCTGTTGTCAAACTGTTTTCAGCGTTTTTTTACTGCATTCAGTGTTTGCTGAGTAGAATAAAATTAGGTGAAGATAATAACTTAAATAGTTTTGTTCATTTGAAGTGTAATCTTTTTAAGATGATCATCCTACCTTACTTTATTTAATTTGTGCTCGCCTTACAAAGATAGAGCAAAAATTAGTTACATGTCTTGCGCAGCTAAAAATGATACTGAATGTTGTTCGCTCATCAGATATTGCTGTCACATTACCTGCGAATATATCATTGCCATTGCGTACCATCACACAATTAGAACATCTTGAGCAGATTCTACTCGAAAAAGCTTCAATGGATGCAGTGGTATAATAATTTAGTATATATTTTTGATATGAATTTTTTGCTTTACATTTTTTTATTAAATATTTTATGTGCCTATTTTAAAACTTTTAAGGTTATGCATCTTGGTCAGATCGGTGGGCGAACTGTTGCGGAGACAGTGAAAAACGTTTTATCTGAGTTAATGGCCACAAAAGTGGCTCAACAATTAAACTTTAAAGGCGGTGGAGGGCAAAAGCAAGGGATCAAAAACATGAAGATATTACCTGCAATTTATGGTTGGTGATTAAAGCATATTGTTAGTAATGGTTTGTAGGGCACTTTAGGTGTAACCTAACAAAATATACTTATGAATGGTTTGTCATGCTTGTGACATGTTACTTTGTAATTTATACATGTAACTAAATGTAACAATGCTTTTATATACTTTATTTAATCCCAAGCAATGACTTTATTTTCCTTCAAATTAAAGTTCATCGAATTTTAAATAGTTTTTCATTTTAAAGTTATAACTGTTTAAAAGTTATAACTCGTAATCGTGTGTACGTTGTATTAAATAATATATATATATATATATATATATATATATATATATATATATATATATATATATATATATATATATATATGTATTTTTTAATGATTAGGAGCAGTGCAGCACAATCCATTCACGAAAAATGCTACAAAAGTGGAAATAAGTGATTACATAAAGACATGGCTTCGTAATTCGTGCGACAGAAAAAAGTATGATGGATCCGGGGGACGCAAACACCACACTGTTGACAATTAACTAACAAACGTTTGAGGAATAAGGATTCGCTGTGTGATCAACTGTGTGATCAAGAAGGTGAAAATGATGCAGATGACGATAAAAACTAATAATTACCAGTTTTAATATTCTTTAATATATATTTCATTTTATTTTTTACGTTAAAAATACACTTTGATAAATAAAATTATAATTAAATTTACCTTAAATGAATTCATACACACTTGATGGCAACGCACTTTCAAAGGTCAAGTCTGTTTGCATTTGGTTAAAGCAATTTAAATGGTGATCAAGCATAACCAATGCCAATTGCAATAGACTTTGTTAAACATTAAAAAATAACGAATATAAGAGATTTAATGTTGATACTGGTTGAACTAACTACGTACTAAGCACAAATAGCGTTTGTAATTCATTAGGCCTAATAAAATATATCGTCGGATAAACGCTGGCTAAACTGCATTGGGCCAATGCTATTGGACCAATGTAGGCCCGGCGGCCATCACGGAATCGGCCCAACGTTGGATGTCAACGTGTGGCCAACATTACAAGAAGCATTGGGCCAACATTGGGCCAACGCTGTTGTGTTAGCTGGGTATATATATATATATATATATATATATATATATATATATATATATATATATATATATATATAAATATATATATATATATATATATTATCTATATATATATATATATATATCTATATATATATATATATATATATATATATATATACATATCCATATATATATAATATTTATGTTATAAAATATTATACAATATTATGTTACTTACATATAAAAAATTTATGATACTAACATATAACAATATTATGCTTTCTTCTTTGAGAATATTGAACACTCTATTTGTCTAATACACTAACATTGTTAGTGCATTCTACAAATAGAGTGCTCAATATTCTTAAGGAAGAGAGAAGTAATAAAAAAATCAAACATTTATCTATTTTTTTGTACTTTTTATTGTATATATATATATATATATATATATATATATATATATATATATATATATATTATTGTATATATATGTATGTATATTATTGTATATATATGTAATGTATATATATATTTTATTGTATATATATATATATATATATATATATATATATATATATATATATATATATATATATATATATATCATGGCCTACTATAGTGACAGGCCAAGTAAACATACGGCTAAAAAAAAAAACTGTAGGCGAGTTTTTATTTTATAAAGTTCCAGTAATATGGCGCGATTTAAAAAAAGAACGTGGTTTTAAATTTAACATGCGATACATTTTAATTTTATGTATATTAAATTTGCTTTCTTTTTAGAGCTAAATAATTAAATTTGAAAAATATGTTTTTTAAGCGATGTGTCATTGGATGCAGAGGTAACTACGATGTTACAAAGTCTGTAAAAGTTTTTCGCCTTTCAAATAAAAAAAATGTGGATGAACGAAAAAGAGGGATAAGTGCTATACCTCGAGATAATATTCCAGATAGGCCGAATACTTTTATTTGTGAAGATCATTGGCCTAAAGACTATGAAAAAGTTTTAGTTTACGAGAAGTTAAAACCAAAACATCCACCATCTGTATTTTCTTGTGCATATCCAAGTCAAATTCCGACTCCACTTGCACCACCAAGACCAACTACTAAACCATTGCCATCTTTAAGAAGTACTTTGCCTGATGAAATAGAGGCTTTTGTGAAAGCTGATAATATTTCTTCTGTCGAAGATTTGTGTAATAAAATAATGTCTGAAACTATATCTGTTTCTTCCTCAATATAATTCTATATGTATTATTCTATATATATTCTATATATAATTCAATATAAATCTAATATCAAGTATCAATGAAAACTGTTTACATCTTCAATATGCTGATATATTGGACAACTTGGGTGTTCCAAAGTTTATTTTGAAAATAAAAAATGATTTATCCTTTGATCACTGTGGTGTTAAGTGGACCATAAAACCTTTTTCTAACAATCATATGAAGAAATAAAATATTAAATAGAAATAATAAAGAAATAAAATATTATAATTGACCAGATGTTAAGTATGAACTCATTAATGTTTATGCGCGAAAAAAAGTATACTCCTGATATGTTTGCTTGGGCATTTGAGTACTTTTCATTGTCAAGAACGCTTTACTCTCAATTACGTGATGACTACGAACTACCAAGTATATCTTTGGTGAGAAAGTTGACATCTAAAGTTGTGTTGTGTTGTAGATGATTTTTTAAAGTTGTATTTTGAAAAATGCTCTATATCGAAAAGACAGGTTATTCTACTAATTGATGAAATTTATGTTAAACCACAGTTAACATATCAAAGCGGTAACATTTTTGGTAAATCCCTGTGTTAAGTCCGACGGTGGGCCGAGCTCGGGCCGAGCTTGTTACATCGGTTGAACATCGGCTACTCTGTTTTTAGCAAAATAATATCGGTGAAACGTCGGTTTTGTGTCTGTTGGCCGATGAATGGTCAAACAGACATTCAGCCGATGTTCAGCCAATTTGGTTCTGTTTTTTATTTTAATGATAAAAAACCGAATATGTTGAATTTTAAAAATGGCAGCAAATCTATCTAACTGAAGGCAAAATTTTTTAATGCATAGGAAAGTTAATTCGTTTACCTGTTAAATTAATATTATTTAATAATATTAATTGGTATTTATAAATAATAACATTACTTTTTATTTACAAATAGTTATTTGAATTTTATTTGAATAGTTATATAAATTTATAAATCATTAAAGTTTAAGATATAAAAATATTAGATAATAGTATCAATATACTAAGTAAACAGTAATTTGTTTTGATAACAGTTAAAAAATACTTAAACTGTGAGCATACAGTTTGTGATTTATGTTTAATTAAAAAATTATTCGTTTTTAAGTTAAACATTAAATGATATTAATTAGTTCATTAACTCAAGACTTGTTAAATAAGTAAACAATTATGAGTCTTTAACGATTTTAAATTACCTCATTAAATTTTAAAGATTGAACATAAATTGTGAACATCATTCAGATAGAAATGTTGAAGATATAAAAGTTCAATTCAATACAAGGTAAGGTAGAAAGTTTTTTATATACTGGTAACATAAGTTTTAAGCAAAATAAGCTTAACTATTTGTTTATTATTTCATTTCAAATTTTTGCCTTGTTTATTTATATTGTATATTTTATATTTACAGTAATAATTTTTTTTATGATTACAATATTATTGTTATATATAATATACTATAAGCAATAATTAATGTGCAACTAAAATATAACTATATTTAGTTACTAATTATATAAACCAATTCAATATTTTAATGATGGCATCAAATCGTTCTGATAGAAGAAGAGCAAGTTATGAATTGTCAACTTTTTTTTCTTCAATACGTGGTAAATTTATATTAATAATATAAACTAGTATTTAAAAATTTGATTGCAATTGTTTATATAAAAATAAAACTTAGGCAAAATGATATAGAACATTTATTTTAATGATTGAAGTGTTAATCATTGTAACAAAGTTTTATATCATATAAGTTCGATGATATAATATCAATAACAATAATATAAAATGAAACTATTTTTATTAAAAAAATTTCTCTTTTTCATATATATATATATATATATATATATATATATATATATATATATATATATATATATATATATATATATATATATATATATATATATATATATATATATATATATATATATATATATATATATATATATATATATATATATATATTTATATATATATATGTATATATATATATATATATATGAGAGAGAGAGAGATATACATATATATTTATGTTTAATCATTTTTATAATTTACGTTAATGTTGTTTTCTATTGTGAAAGTATATAATTTTTGTAGTATTCTTCTGATTTAAATAATCATTCCGTAATGCTAATAGTTTACTAAATGCTATAAAGCTATAATGTAGTTTATTGTTTCATTTAGACCAAAATCGCAGTATTGAAGTAAACGGTAATAGCCCTTTAAATATTTTTTAATTTCTGTTGTGATATCAAATATAACATTTAAATTATGAATTTATATTTAATTGAAAGTTTAAAATTATTTTATTTAGGCAAAACTCTTAAGCCACAAGTTGACAGAGCTAACCTATACCCAGTTGATTTCTCTATATCTGACGTTTGTTTTGAAAGCAATGAAAATAATTTAAATTATTCAGATAGTGATTTGTATTTAAATGAAGAAGATTGCATGCTCTCAGAGTCAGAAGATTTTGTACAGTATTTGCATAGCGACTCAAGTGACAACAAGGATTCAGAGTCCAAAGAAGATTCCAAAGAAAAAATTTTAACTATTGCTGATCATTTGCTTATGTTTTTTATTACTTTTAATATTAGTCATCATGCGATGCTTTATCTTTTAAAATTGTTGATAAAATTTGGAGTGCCTGATGTTCCAAACTCTATTTATTTATTGACAAAAAAATCACAATTACAAAATTTAAATATTGTAAAGTTATCTAATGGAAATTTTTTTTATTTTTCAATTATTAAAAATTTAAAATACTGTGTTGACAAAGGTGTTTCTATTATTTCATCAACTATAGATTTCATTTTCAATGTTGACGGTTTGCCACTTTTTAAAAGCTCCGGACTGTGTGCAGTACTTTTGTATATTCCACAGTTTAAAAGCAAGTTTCCATTACCGGTATCTGTTTATTGTGGTACAGTAAAACCAGATTTGTGCACTCTGGTAACAGATTTGTGTGATGAGTTATCATTATTAAAGTCTCAAGGTCTTGTGTATAAAAATGTAAAGTTTGTTATTAATAGCATAATTATTGTCTGTGATGCACCTGCAAGAGCAATGCTTCAAGGTATAAAGTACCATACTGCAAACTTTGGCTGTTCATATTGTAGAATCGAAGGTGAGACAAATGATCATCGAACTTTATTTCTAAAAAATAATTGTGATATGCGCAATGATTTAATAATCAAGTTATTTTATCACCATTAGCTTTCATAACAGGTATTGGTTTACATTCTTCTTTTCCTCCAGAATATCAGCATCTGGTGTGCCTTGGGGTTTGTAAAAAATTATGTTTTTTTTATTTAACATCAGTTCATCAGTATCCACGTCTTCCTTGCAAATTAAGTTTTAACCAAATGTCACAATTATCGGAAATTGTGAAGAACTTTTCTAAATTTATTCCTATTGAATTTCATCGTAAAATCAGACCTTTATCAGAACTGTGCCATTACAAAGCTACAGAATATCGGTTTTTCTTGTTATATTTAGGGCCATTTTTGTTAAAAAAGATTTTGCTGCCAGATTTTTATGAACATTTTTTATTGTTACATTATGCAACGTATTGTCTTTGTTCCAACAGTTTTAATGATTATATAGATTGTGCTAAAGGGTGTATCAGTCACTTTGTTTCAAAATGTCCAGAATTGTTTACACCAAAGTGTATGTCATATAATTTTCATGTTTTGTTACATTTACCGTATTTTGTTAACTTATATCAACAACCTTTCGACTACTTTTCTACATTTCGTTTTGAAAATTATTTATCGATTTTAAAACGTAAAACTAAAGCTACGTCTAGTATATTTCCTCATCTTTTAAGTAATATGAGAAATATACGCGATCAATCTATAACTGAGAGAGCCATGCCTCTTATTTTTAATTGTAAACCGCCAGATAATTGTTGTATTACACCACAAGGAATTATTTTGATTACAAATGTTTTGAGTGAACCAGTTATTTTAGTTTTTGGTTATATTTTAAAGCTGCATAAAAATTTGTATACAATCGGACCTTATGAATCTTCTTCACTTGGTATTGGTATTTATTCAAAATCTACAACATATATAAATAATTTAGCTCAGGTAAATAAGTGTATTTGTTATCCGTATAAGCAAAGATTTATTGTTATTCCATATTGTAATTCAAACTATATGTCTTAATACGTAATGTTTATGATATGGTATCTTTTTGAATATGTATTTTCCTGTATTTATTATTTATTAATAAAAAGAAAAAGTTTTTTATCTTTCTGTACATGTTGTTTGACAATAATTAATTTTAATTTTGTTTGCTAATACATATTTGATAATTATTATAATAAAAATTGGAAAAAGTATACTTGCTAAATATTTTTGCAATATATATATATATATATATATATATATATATATATATATATATATATATATATATATATATATATATATAATATATATATATATATATATATATATATATATATATATATATATATATATATATATATATATATATATATATATATATATATATATATATATATATATATATATATATATATATATATATATATATATATATATATATATATATATATATATATATATATATATATATATATATATATACAAGTTGACAGAGCTAACCTATACCCAGTTGATTTCTCTATATCTGACGTTGTTTTGAAAGCAATGAAAATAATTTAAATTATTCAGATAGTGATTTGTATTTAAATGAAGAAGATTGCATGCTCTCAGAGTCAGAAGATTTTGTACAGTGTTTGCATAGCGACTGAAGTGACAATAAGGATTCAGAGTCCAAAGAAAAAATCTTAACTATTGCTGATCATTTGCTTATGTTTTTTATTACTTTTAATATTAGTCATCATTATATATATATATATATATATATATATATATATAAATATATATATATATAAATATATATATATATATATATAAATATATATATATATATAAATATATATATATATATAAATATATATATATATATTATCATTATATATATATATATATATATATATATATATATATATATATATATATATATATATATATATATATATATATATATATATATTTATATATATATTATCATCATTGTATATATATATATATATATATATATATATATATATATATATATATATATATATATATATATATATTATCATCATTGTATATATATATATATATATATATATATATATATATATATATATATATATATATATATATATATATATATATATATATATATATATATATATATATATATATATATATATATAGATAGAATGAAATACATAGTATATTTTGATGACACACATGTGGATATATTAAATGAAGAAGATGTCATGCTCATGGACTATTAAGATTACTCAATTGATGATTGGAATTCATTGTCAGTTGATCATGTTGTACGTATTCAAGCTGTGTGGAAAGACCAACCATTTGATGCATGTCTTCTGCAAGTAGTTCCTAATGATGACAGTTGTCAGCAAACTATAAACAGTTTGAGACATGCAGTTAAAGTTAAAATTTTGGTGCATTGAGGTTAATGAAGTACATCAAGTTCAGGTATTTATAAAATTTAAATTTTTAGTTTTTGTGTTTCTTGAGAATATTTAATAAAGTTGGTTCTTTTATAATTTATATAGAGTTCGGCCTAATCAACGCGCACCTTTACAGCCTTTAGACAACCTCACCAGTGGAACCGATTCTGATGCCTTTACACCACTGTTTGTTAAACCACTAGCTGTTAAAGTTAGTGAACCAATACCTCCACTTTGTTCTCCACCTTTAGTCCCAATGCATATATTTACACCAACATCTTCTATCCAACATGTTGATAAAAACCAATTACAAGTCTCATCTTCTATTATTTCTAAGTCTTTTAAACCTTTGGCCTGCAAAGTGTCAGCGTCAGATGGTCCAAAAACAAAACGAGCAAATAGTACTCATGCTGTGCTCCATGAGCTCAATGTTCTTTGCAACGATGCAGGCATCGATTCTGACACAGTCCAAGCTGTGCGATATGGTCAAGCTGTCATTTTGCAAATAGAAGCTCTTATTTCACAACGGCTGGACATTTCAACAGTGACGCATTCAACAGTGAAAGCAATACCATTATTGAAAAGCGAACAAAGAAAAGTTCCTTTGTTTTGTACTCCGGATGATCTAGCAAATGCAGATATTGTTTTATCTGATGAAATATATCAGTGGATGCTTCAAGAAGGTGGCCGTGATTCCAATGATCTTTGTGAGCGTTTATTAAATCTCCTTTTATCAATTGATTTGGCAAAACAACTTAATCGAAGTGGGAAAAATGGTAAATTAAAACTTCCAGTGAAGTTAGAGAAATTCATAAAGGACTGCGTTTTGACAAAATTTCCAAATGAAACTCGCAATGTTGTAGAGTTGCGCATCAAACGATTTTTGCATAATGCAAAGGACAAGAATGGTGGAAGGGCTGCAAGGCGAAATTCTAAAGTTCCTAAAGGTATAAGTATTTTATGAAATGTTGTTTCTATTGGTTATTTGAAATCATGACTATTTTTTAAAATGCTGTATATATTAATGTATTTATGTATTTCTATGTATGAATCCTTGGTATGAATAATTGGTATGGTATGGTAAAATATATATATATATATATATATATATATATATATATATATATATATATATATATATATACATATATGTATGTATATATATATATATATATATATATTTATATATATATATATTTTAATTTCTATAGAAGCTGTTGAATGCAATGACTTGATTATTGCAAAAAATAATAAAGATTTTGACAATGAGCATCCTGGTCCGAAGTGCCAAAGTAACTTTTTATTTAATAATAAATATAATAATTTATATATTAGAAATATAAAATTATTGCTTTGTTCTCCAAAATCAAAATTGGAAGTCACGTTGATTTCTATGTTTCTAAGTTGAAATCTATGTTGTGATTTATATCATATTGCTATTATTGATATGTTCAAATTTAATTTTATACCTTTTTTAGATGCTGCTCACGGTGAATTGTCAGTACACAAAAAACGTCGGAAGCTCAACCAATCCAATTTATTTGATAAATCAACTGATTAAGATTAATTTATTTAAATAAAGTATATAATTTTATCTTATATTTGTGTTTTATTTGTTTTTTTGTTGCTCTATCCTATTTTTCAGAGTAATTTCATGGTATATATTTACATATAACCATGGTTATATACTTACATATTAACTTACAACAAACTGATTTTAGTGGATGAGATTATTCTAATTTAAGTTTGTGTATAAAGATGCACAAACTTATTGTAGAGCCTAGATCAGCTGCCGACATCAAACCGTTATCGTTTTAGTCCATACGGAATTGTGTAAGGTTGAGATTATATGGATATTTTACCCAAACAATTTTCTGGTATTGATTTTTTAACCAATCAATTTTTTTATATATCCAGATAATTTTTTAACAGATATTTTAAAATATGATCTGGATGATCTATGAACCATATATCAACAAAACCCTATACCATGTTTGCACTTTTAAATTATAATGGCTATCAATATATAATAGCTTATTCAATTATTTTATGTTTCAATTATCTATGTTCATTTTGTTTATATTTAATTTATTTATTAGATTTTAATGAAATCTGAAAGTATTGTTATAAGTGAAGATCAATTGCTATACAACTTGCTATACATATGTATATTTGTTCTTTGTATAGCAAATGATAGTGTTTCCTGACGAAGAGCTAGAAAATAAGTTATCTTATAATTATATGAATTGGATATTATTAGTAATTTTATATTGTTATAAATAGAATAAAATATTTTTTTTAACTATAATTATGTAAAAGATTTTTTTACATAATTACGTAAGAGATAAAATTTGTTTTTATTATAAATTCAATTATATGTATAATTTTTTAGTTATAGATATAGATGTCGAAGAAATCAAAATCAACTTATGAATTATCGAATTGATTCTTTCAACAATCTATGAAGGTTTTTTCAGGTCCATTAGTAGTTTAGTTTTTCTTAGTTAATATTTTTCTTAGTAAATATTTTTATATATCCCTTTTTTATTATATTATTTTTTCATTTCTCTAGTGTTACTATTTTTGGATTCATTGCCAAGCAATGAAGCAGTGCGTTTAACTATTAACAGAAGAACTCCTTCAGGTATGTCTCCTTGTCAATAGTTTGTTGTATGATTATGTTAAATTTATAAAATGTTTATTCCAACACAAGGTAAGGTAGAAGTAGTTTTATTTACTGGCGATGTTAGTTTTAAGCAGAATAAGTATCATATATCAAAATATTTCCTGTTAATTTTTTATTTATTGATAAAGTATAACCTGTTATGGTAACAATTTTTTTTTGCACGAATCTATTTTTAACACAGTGCTCTCAGAAGAAAAACTCTTATAATAGAGGTGTTATACTGTTGCTATGCTAATATTATCTATATTGTATTCATATTTTTATTGATATATAATTTTCAGAGGCTGTAGATTTTGATAATGCATATCTTGATTCTAAATATAAATGTATATTTTATATATATATATATATATATATATATATATATATATATATATATATATATATATATATATATATATATATATATATATATATATATATATATATATACAATATATATATATATATATATATATATATATATATATATATATATATATATATATATATATATATATATATATATATATATATATAATATGGCCCAAGCTCCAGCGTGTTTTATATAACATGTTAATTTTTATAGGGGCTGTTGAATGCAAAGAAGTAAACAATGACCAAGATACAAATGATTTTGGCAGTGCACATCCTGATTCGAATTGCCCAAGTAACTTTTATTGAATTAGAAATATAATACTTTTCATATTATAAATATAAATTAGTTATTTCGTTCTCTGAAATTAAAAGTGGAATTTGGAATCTACGTTGTGATTAATGTTATATTGCTATTGTTGATATGTGAAAATTTAATTTACAGTTTTTTTTTTTAGATGCTGCACACAGTGAATTATCGGTTAAAAAAAAAACTTTGGAATTTCACCCGATTCAATTTATTTGATGATTCAACTGATTCAGAATAATTTATTTAAAAGAAATATATAATTTTGTTTTATATATGTGTTTTACATATACTTTAGTTGCTTAATACTATTTTCCCTTTTTTCAGATTTGAATAAGTGTGTTAAGATTTGCATCGGCTAGCAGAATTTTTGAACGCCTTTGTTTTTGTCCATACAAAATCGCATCGGGCTGAGATCGGCCAGCCGATGATTTGTTTGGAATCGCATGGCTTAACATCGGCCAGCCGATGCATTGCAATAGTTTGAGCGGCTAGCCGATGTCGGGCCGACCTCGGTCCGTATGGACAAAAAAGCCGTCAGTCCGATATCGGCAGCCGAGCTCGGTCCGACATCGGCTTTAACACAGGAATCTGTATATTGCCCAAATGAGTTAGCAAAAACAGCTTTGGGTTTCATGATTTGTTCTTTATTTGGTGGAAAACAGTTTTTGTATAAAACATTACCAGTAACAGGTTTAGATGCTAATACGATTAAGCAGTACAAACAAATGAAGCGATAAAAAAATGTGGTGGTTCTGTTGTTGCTATTCTTTGCGACAATAATAAAATAAATAAAAAGTTTTTTGGAATGTTCAATCTCCGTAATACTTGGAGCACTAATAGTAACATTTTCCTTTTGTATGACATTGTTCATTTAATAAAATCTATTTGCAACAACTGGCTCACAGAAAAATTCCAAGAACTATGCTTTACTTATAAAGGTATTTCAAGAGCTGCAAAATGGTCAGATCTTAAAAAACTTTTTCTATTTGAAAAAGATGCTCTTGTGAAACAGTCTAAACTTTATGAAACAGCAGTTTTTCCTAAACCATTGAACGTCAAAATATGTCAACTTGTTTAAGAGTATTTTGTAATAAGACTGTAGCTGCTATAAAGACTCATCCATCTATAAAAAATGTCAAAGACATCACAATGTTTTTATCTATTTTCATAAATTTTTTTAAAATTGTTAATGTTAAAGGACTTTATGAAGATATTTGTACTAGAGATAAATATCGTGCTGTTTTTTCATCAAACAATGATAAACGATTGAACTTTCTTTTAAATTTGGCAGATATGGTCGAAAAAATGGCTCCTGAAAAACAAGGTCATAGACTAAAAAATTTACCCAAAGATACTTCTTGTGCTTTTTCCCATACATGTCGTGGGATGGTTAAACGAGTAAAACATTTACAAACTACAAGTCATAAGTATGTTTGTATTGGACATTTTACTAGTGACCCTATTGAGAATGCATTTGGAAAACTTCGACAAGGATCAGGTGGTACCTATTTTATAAATGTTCAGCAAATATTATAAAAAGATGACATTAAAAAAACAAAACTTTGTTTAAATATTAGTAACACTGCTAATGATTTAGAAGTATCATCAAGCCATTTGTGTGACAAGTGTAATTATATGTTGCAAGATCATATTTTGTTCAATGTGTTTCATATCTTCCAGTTAATTAAAGCAATTTGTCTAAAGAAATTAAAATGTCTTTGGTTTACATTACTGGCTATGTCAATAGGGAAGACCCTTCAGTTGAAGATACATCATTTTGTTTTGAGCAGTTTGGAGATTATGTCAGAGAGATTAATCGCAATGGTTTAAGTTTGACTGGAGATAAATTTTGCCATTGGATATTTTATTCATACATTTTATTTCATCATCTTTACACTTTTTTCTGTCGTGTTAGCTTATTCAAGCTAATTATTTTAGAAAGTTATTTTATCGTATAGATTTTAGAGTTTTAAAACATACTGAAACATTTATCAAGTTTTACAGTTTGATTTTCACTTAAAAATTGCATTGCGTCAAGCTTTCCTTAACTTTGATGTACAGCATATCTTTCCGTGAAAAACGTCATTACATAGTTTTAGAAATTTTTGTTTAACAACGTGCCACCGTGGCTGATTGGATAACGCGCTTAGCTTCTGAACAAGTAAGCCCTGGTTCTAGTCCTACTATTGAAACCTTTTTTTTTAATTTTTTTTCGACTATTTTAAAATACAAAATACTTTTGAAGTTTTATAGAGTGTTTATAAAAAGATATGTAACGATATTATACACTTAAACGAACGAAAAGATTTTAAAAAAGATAAAACTTTTAAAAACATCAAAACACCCGGAGAAAAAAATTATTGCGTATGTGTCATAATTGAGATACTTATGTTAATAACGTGCTCAGATAGTTGGTCCTAATAAGCTGCGGATGGTCTGAAAAAAAAGTTTTCTAAAGCTTAATAAAAAAAAACTTTTTAAAACAGTTGTGCTACTCCAGAAATTGCTGCTGCTGCTGCTGCAAAAAAAAAAAAAAAAAAAAAAAAAAAAAAAAAAAAAAAAAGCCCTTAGTTATAAAAAAATTTTAAAATTTCTTTTATAATAAATATATTCTTTTGCTACATTTATTTTTTTACAATAAATATGTGCTGCAGCTGTTTTTCAAAACGTCTTCATATTCTTATTACGTATTCGAGAAAAACGCAATTAAAAAAAAATTGTTAAATAGAGATGGTTAATAGGGTGGAACGATTTAAAATTTTTTTGAAATTTGATTTGCCTGAGCTGCGAATCGATGTCTTTTGGTGAAAAAAGAGCCTTACTTTTTTTTTTTTTAAATATAAATGAGTTTTAGAGGTTCCTCTTTGGATTCTAAATTTATGACGGATCCTAATATTGTTGAAATTTTTTTCTTTTCTAAACTAAATTAACCTGGTACTCAAAAGAAGCAGAATAATACGCTTATTCTGAATTTTATATTTGTTTTAATTTAAAACTGAGGAGAAAAAAATGTCGTTTTTTTAATTAAAAAACCCCCGTCTTCATCAAAACGGGGGTTTTAAGGTATATTTTTGCAAATATTTTTTTTACTAAATTTTTTTTTATTAAAATCATTAATGATAAAATAAGCATTTTTTTCTGCTTTTTTTGAGTCCAAGGTTGATATAGTTTAGAAAAAAAAAAATTCAAAAATATTAGGATCAGTCAAGGA